CTGCGCATTTGTTTCCTTCGCGGTAAGTATGGCTAATAGTCGAGGTTCTAAGCTGGTTCAGGAGGTACCTGTAGTCATGAATGAGATTACTAAGTTGATGACAATGGTTAGAATTGCCAAGAAAGAGATTTTGCATGATGGTTGCATTTATTTCCACTTCTATTTCTGTGAGATTAAGGTCAAGAGCAAGTTTTAGACCATCTCGCATGGCCCAAAGTTCAGTTTCAATACTGGATGAGTGGCCAATGTTGCGGCAGAAACCAAAAATCCATTTACCCATCCAGTCCCTAATGATACCTCCAACAGCGGCAAGCTCAGGGCTGTTTTTTGAGGCACCATCGGTAGTGAGTTTGAAAAGGTTAGATTTGGGAGGGGAGCCAAGAGATAGCGGATGGTGGAGAGGGGCGTGGTTGCCTAGATGGAGAGAGATGTTGCCATTTGATGGCAGATGCAATGGCCAAGGAGGGGTTGAGCAAGTGAGGGTTGGGAAAAGGCCAGTTTGGGTTAAGGCTTTCATCAAATTTAATTCTGACAAGTCTTATTTTAATAATTAGAATTGTACATTTTGTTTGGCCTTCAATATATATTATTTATTTAAAAAAAATTAAGTTGATTCGATAATCATAATAATTTTATTCTATCACGTTCTCTAAAAAAATGAATGACAACTATGTAATTGAAAATAGATAATTCATTTTTTTAGTCAAACATGACAAAATGAAAAAATTAAGATTATCAAATTGATATAAATTTTTTTATGATTAATATATACGAAAAATCTTATAAAATGAATATTTCAAATAATCGAAACAAAACCCGTTTGTCAAATTTTCGCAAGTTTATATATATTTAAACTTGGGGAACATTTTCTATTTTATCACCTTGACTTCATTTGGTGTCTCTCACCATAATTGTCTTGTGGCTGCTCAACAGTTTCGCAAGGAAGGTAAAGGTCCACATCTTGACAAAGACATGGAATCGAGTGGAATGAGACTCCCAATCTATGGGTTAGGTGGAATGAGACTCCCAATATTCTAAATGGATCTATCAAACTCTTAAAAATATTTTACTTACCCAAAAAAACTCTTAAAAATATTTGAGTTATAAGGATGAATATTATAAGAGATGTGCAAGATAAAAGTATAGCGTAATGCTAGAAATTCATAAATTAGACCATTAAATTTATCTATAGTGATGTGACAATAGAAATAGATCTTACATAATTGAATATGTAACAAATTAAAAATTGACATGTATTACACCACATTATTATGGATCAGATTGTGGGAGATTTTTTTTTTGTAGATCTTAAACATTTTTCAAAAGTATATAACTCATATAAGTGGGATTCACATGTAGGCTCACTTTTTGTTTTATAATTGTGTCTTATTATGTAAATTTCTTTATGCACTTTAATTTTCTCATATTACAAATTTTTGACAATGATTTTTGTTTTCAAATTGAGTTGTTTCGTAATTCAATGCATTTATAATCATCAAATTATACTAATAATTTGAATTATGTAAATCTTGAAGCGTGATTTATTAATTGAGTATTGAGTAGGACGGAAAAAGTTTTGGAGTAAAAAATCTCATGCCATAAATTTTATTTATTTTTTTTTTTTTTGGATGTTTCAATAAACATGATTCTTAATAGTCTTGGTTCACATTCATAATACTAGTCCAACTTAAACCGCAATCCAACCACAGCTGTTAATTTAATTTTTATAATACATGGGGCCACTCCTAAATTATTTTATATCTTGCTGTCTTTGTGCAAAACAAGATTATGACCCAAATGTACGTCCGATCCCGTCGTAGTAACCAACATGATTGGGATGTAGCTTAATCATGTGGTTTATAACCCTTTTGGGACTTCAACTTTTGCACAAAGATACCTTCTTTCTCCGCATGAAAACAAAATTAAAAAGTATATTATAATATATTTATAGAATTTTAAACAAAATTTATAATAAAAATAATGTAATAATAAAAAAAATATTAAGTATAATAGTGATACCTCCTACATGATGTCATTGACTGAAAAAAATTACAAAAGAATTAAGTGAAAGGGTCTTATCTCCCCGTAATCTAACATTAATATCTCGTGATATAATTATTAAACTCAATATTTAGCCATAATAATAATATAGGTGAATGATTTCATTAGATCTCGTTTAGGAATAAGTTATTTTAGTAATTTTTTTATTTTTTATGAAAAAATTATATAAAAAAGTAGAGAGAGTGATGTGACAACTTATAATAACTTTTTGACTTTTTAGCTAAAACATATAATTGACAAACGAGGCCTAAATAAAAAAAAACCATAATATAACACATCATTTCGTAGTGTTTTGAGAAGTTAGTAAAAACATTAATTTTTTAGTGATTTTTTAATTTTTTTATATAAAAAAAAATAAAAAAATGATGTGACTCAAAAAAACTAAAAAGTTAAAAAATATCAAAACGCCCCTTCGTATATATTTTATTTGTATATTATTATTATTCTATCGTATTATACATATATATTTAGGGGTTGTTTGGGATGTTCTAAATAAGCGTATTTTTTGACTTTTGATGAAATATGGGTTGAGTTTGAAGTGATATGGTAGAGAAGTTATATGACTTATATAAAATGATATGACTTAAATAAAATAGTGACTTTTTGACTTTTTGACTTTTTGACTTTTTCTGAACATCTCAAACTTAGCCTTAATTTAACAAAGAATATATTATTCTATCGTATTTAACAAAGAATATGGTGAATCTAAAGCCTCATTATTGCGCATTCCCATTTTTTTAATAAAGAGGAAGGTTCGTGGAAATTTCCTAAAATATTAATTATTCCCGATCACTTTGTTTAGGGTAAATTACCTATACCTCCTTTGAGGTTTCCCTAAATTACAAATTTTCCTGAGATTTCAAAAATTACATCTTACCTACAGTAATTAACGTCGTTTACGGAGATAGTAAATTGACTAAAATGTCCTTGGATAAATTACACTGACACCTCTGAAGTTTTTGTTTAATACGGATCCCCTCACACTTGAAAATTTATATTTTCCTCCCTGAGATTTGTAATCTTATTACAAATTACCTCATAAATTGCTAATGTCATAACTTAAAATTTTCTAAATGACCATCTTGCCATTTTCTACCATTTCTTCTTCCTATCATCATGACTATATTGTATAACTTTCCATTATTAAATTATGTACGAACATATTGTTAATGAGTGATGATAAACAAACATAAATTTTATATATAATTTTCAAACACAATGATAGAGTTGAATGGTGACCTTTCACTTTAAAATAAAACATTCATAAACATGACTTATATATTTACAATAATATCACTATCGCAATATTTTTATTATATTTTTTGTATAAATTTTTACATATGAATGTAATTTTTTTTTTTTCACCATTATATCTAGATTAGATCAATTTAATTCAGATATATTTAAAAAGTATAAAATTTGTGTAAATTTTTTTTTTTAAAAAAATCCATTGAATACAAAAAAAAAAAAGGAAAAAAAAAGATAATATATTGAATTTTTCTAAGCTAATATTTTAATTTCAAACTATTTGAGTGCTCTTCCTTCCTTCATTCCACGCTGCACAGGATTCTATGGTAATTATTTATTACCCAAAAAATAACTGTTCACCCCCCAAAAAACAAAAAACAAAAAAATCTCAAAAAATAGCAAATTAACTTAATAAATTGTGAATACAAAATTAATTAATTAAATAAGTAATGAAATGTAAAATTAAAATGAAAAAACACTTATTAGATGGTGAAAATATTATAAAATTAATAAATAATTAAATAAGTTATCAACGTAAGAAATAGCTTATTAAAAAGATTTTTAGGTTATATTTGGTTTGATTTTTAGAATTTTTTTTTTAAAATAAAAATTTAATTTGTTTAAGAAATAAAAATAAAAAATAATTATCAATTTTATATGATTTTATCTTTTATATAATTTTATTTTTTGATTGGTTAGAAATAATTTTTACAAATTAAGGCTTGGTTTGATATGTATGAAAAAAGTTAAAAAGTCAAAAAGTCACATTATCTTATTTAAGTCACATCACCTCTCTAATCCATCACTTCAAACTCAAACCAAACCCAACCCATATTTTATAAAAAGTCAAAAAGTGCACTTATTTAGATCATCTCAAACATATGTTTTTTCCTATCTATTTTTATTAAATTAGTTTTCATTTTTTCAAAAAAAAAAATTCTAACAAACCATGCATGGTTTCAAAAACTTTTTTTTTTTTTCCGTCTAATATAATTCTTTTATAAATTTTGTTAACTTATCAAAGAGGTGTCAAGTTACATCATGTTGTTTGGTGTTTTGGAAAGATACCGAGGACAATATTATCTATAAATATATATTTAGTTTTCATTTTTTCAAAAAAAAAAATTCTAACAAACCATGCATGGTTTCAAAAACTTTTTTTTTTTTTCCGTCTAATATAATTCTTTTATAAATTTTGTTAACTTATCAAAGAGGTGTCAAGTTACATCATGTTGTTTGGTGTTTTGGAAAGATAGCAAGGACAATATCATCTATAAATATATATTTTGGTGATGGCAACATGTTTTTGTAATCATTCTTAATGTTTAGTTAATGACAATGGTTAAATTGTTATACCAATAAAAACTTTGGGAGCAAAATGTAATAAAAACTTTGAGAGCAAAATGCAATTTCTGAAACCTTAGTAGAAAATTCGTAATTTAACTAATATCAAGGGTAAGGCAATTGGCCCCTTTATTTAATTAACAGTTCAGTTCAGTGTGCAACGCACAAACTTTTTCTCATTCCAACCACCACTAATCGCATGCCACGTCATAAAATAAACTTAAAAAGCGATCATCATGGGACATCTTTGTCACTTTCATTACGTGGCGTTGGACCATTGGATGCACTTATGTGGAACACGATTAGTCTCAAAAGCGAATTCGTATAGCGACGGGCAACATGAGGAAGCCCTGGAGGGACTCCATTGTAGCGCTCCGATTGTCTTTTATATATAACAGAACAGCGCACGGATCTCTGGCTTTTCTCACTCCTCTGTTTATAGAGAGAGAGAACACAACAAAAGCTACTACTCAGAGCGCACTCCCTATCTCTCTTTTCCAATAATTCTGGTAATCTTGAACCCTATCACTTCAACAGTTTTAAATCTATGCGAATTTGTTGTATATGTATTGACATTGATTGATTTATGTGAATTTGTTGTATATTTGATATTGATTGATTTATATGTATAGGAAATTGTTCTAGATCTTTTGGTTATCAGATTTGTTGTTATGGTTATGAATTTGTGTAATCAGAGCATGATATTTAAGTATTTAGATTTATGAAATTTCAGGTGAAACTGTTTGAATTGATTTTTTGTTTGGTTGGTGTGAAAATTGTGGAGTTTTGATGGGAAAAGGAGGGCAAGATTATGGGAAAAGCGAGAGTTTTGGCTCGAAATCATCGTCGAGCCGAGAAGTATTCGCGGCTTGGGCGAAGGATGTGAGAGAATGCGAGGAGGAGTATAAGGTGAATCGTGAGTACGGATTGCCGGCCGATGAAGTGGAGAAGAGGCGGCAGATCTACGGATGGAATGAGTTGGAGAGGCACGAAGGGCCGTCGATTTTGAGATTGATTTTGGATCAGTTTAACGATACTCTAGTTAGGATTTTACTTGTTGCTGCGGTGGTATCGTTTGTGCTGGCTTGGTATGATGGTGATGAAGGCGGCGAGATGGAAATCACGGCGTTTGTGGAGCCTTTGGTGATTTTTTTGATCTTGATTGTGAACGCAATTGTTGGGGTTTGGCAAGAGAACAACGCTGAGAAAGCATTAGAGGCTCTCAAAGAAATCCAATCAGAGCAAGCAACTGTGTTACGTGATGGCCGAAAGATTACGAATTTGCCTGCGAAAGAACTTGTTCCTGGGGACATTGTCGAGATTCGGGTTGGTGACAAAGCTCCTGCTGATATGAGGGTTTTAACTTTGATTAGCTCGACCCTGCGGCTCGAGCAGGGGTCACTGACTGGAGAGAGTGAGGCTGTTAGCAAGACAACCAAACCTGTTCCTGAAGATTCTGAAATTCAGGGGAAGAAATGTATGGTGTTTGCAGGGACGACGGTAGTGAATGGGAATTGTATTTGCTTGGTTACTCAGATAGGAATGAATACAGAGATAGGCAAGGTTCATTCACAGATCCATGAGGCCTCCCAGAACGAGGATGAAACACCATTGAAGAAGAAATTGAATGAATTTGGAGAGGCTCTCACTGCTATAATTGGGGTTATTTGTTTATTGGTGTGGCTTATTAATTTGAAATACTTTCTCACTTGGGAGTCTGTTGATGGGTGGCCCCGGAATTTCAAATTCTCTTTTGAAAAGTGCACATATTACTTTGAGATTGCAGTGGCACTGGCGGTAGCTGCCATTCCTGAAGGTTTACCTGCTGTTATCACGACATGTTTGGCGCTTGGCACGAGGAAGATGGCTCAGAAGAATGCCCTTGTTCGGAAATTGCCTAGTGTTGAAACTCTTGGCTGCACAACCGTGATCTGTTCTGATAAAACAGGTACCCTGACTACGAATCAGATGGCGACAGCAAAGCTTGTGGCTATGGGTCCCAGGGCAAATGCTGTCCGAATTTTTAATGTGGAAGGGACCACATATAATCCTTTGGATGGAAAAATTCAAGACTGGCCTGTGGGTAGAATAGATGCCAATCTCCAAATGATTGCAAAGATTGCTGCTGTGTGCAATGACGCCGGCATTGAACAAGCTGTGAATCATTATGTAGCTACTGGAATGCCTACTGAGGCCGCTTTGAAGGTTAGATCTTATAGTTTTGTTTCTTGTGGTTTAAGATCAAGTTTGCCTTTATAGTTAAATTACAGGAAAAAAAAGAAAGAAATAAAAAGCACCGGAATCTAGTGTCATATTCCCCAAATTGCTTAGAGTATTGAGGCTGGATTTACCCTTTAAAACATTAGTTTCATCCATTTGTGTCAATAATCCATGCTTTGCTATGTCATAAACATGAGACACCGTACTACATAAATTGTTTGCAGAGAGGTGCTAAGTTGAAGTTGCTACAAAGCAATAAATATTGAGCTGAAGCAATTTTATCATCATGATTGTTTATGTTTTTTCAGGTTATGGTTGAGAAAATGGGACTTCCTGATGGATTGGATTCTGTTTATGTTTTTTCAGGTTATGGTTGAGAAAATGGGACTTCCCGATGGACTGGATTCTGTTACATCTAAAGGTTATGGTGATGTTCTACGTAAGTTACAATTAGAACTTATGTTTATGTTGTTTACTAAACTTGTTTATGTGGCTGCTAATGTGTTCCATTTAATTTTATGTAATTGAAGGTTGTTGTCGGACGTGGAGTAAGATTGAAAAACGGATTGCCACTCTTGAGTTTGACCGTGATAGGAAATCGATGGGAGTTATAGTGAGTTCCAGCTCAGGAAGAAAGTCATTGCTTGTAAAGGTGCATACACCACCTTTTGCCTCCCTCACTCTTCTTTCATGCAGCCACGTGGAGTTTTATAGTTTTTGACTTTGATATATTGTCACACAGGAGAAAGTGATTTTCTGATAAGAATTGCAAAACTATAAAATGCGGTTCCAACATTTTAATCTTTGTTTCAATTTTTTTTTTGTCTCTTTGTCTGTTCTAGTAGTTTTTGCTACTTCAACTTGCATGCGAGATAGATTGTCAACAAATTTACTTGGAACTTTAATGGGGAAGAGTATGATGAATGGGTGCCCAATGAACAGACAGAAAAAGGGTTGATGGACCATGGAATCTTGCTACAATTTCTGCACTTCTAACACTGATCTGGAAGCACTAAATTATTTAACTTTTAAAAGGATTCACACAGTGGTCTAGTTTTTGACTTGCAATCATTTTCCAACTGTTTGCACTCTTGCTTAGCGGAGTATATTTTATAATCTTTTACTACGTAACACACGGTGGTAGTTAAATTTCTTGTTTGGCTACAAGACCTGGTAATTTTAATTTCTGTTTAGAATGCCTTTACAGTATGAGAGTAGCAATGATGTGATATTTAATGGACATTACATGCAGACAGATAGAGACAGTGTCTATATATAATTAAATAATTCAACACAGCTACAGTTGTTCAAGTATAGGCTACAATATCATCAATACAACACCCAAAGCAGAGTAATTAGATTAATTATTACATCATACTCTGTTTATGACTTACTTGAATGTTAATATCTTGATGAAGTATATTTCAAATAACAAACAGTTTCTTTAGTAAATATATAATTGCTAAATAAAGTTGGATTGGACTAGGCCACGTGTTCCTTGCATTAAGTCAGCATACATGAATTTTCATGTACCTAAAATTGGACATATTAGCATAATTTCAACAGAAAATTAATTTCTTGGCCATACAAGAAAATAATGTCATTTAATTATGAAAACTGTTACTTGCATACACCTGAGGTTATGGACTACAGGAATCAGAGACCTTATTTGAAAGATTTTTTTTGAAATTTTATAAAAAGTAAGTCTAGCCATGCGGTAGAGCTCATGGTTTGTCACGCACTCTCCTTCTGATTAGTTCACCTTGGCCACCAAAGAACACACATGGCACATGTGTCTTTCTCTAACACACTTCCACATGTAAAGATCAGAACAAAACACCTAGAAGTAAATGCAATGGTTGAATAGCATATATCAAATACGATGAATTTCGGTCAAGTAGAGTGCTTATCTTTGACTGGTATGATTGATTCTATCTAATGGAATTTTGATGTGAAAAATTAACTGTTTGATGACCATGCAGTGCTTAATCAAATGTAGCCATCCTATAGGGTTTTTTCCTGTGGGGTGTGTTAGAGAAAGGCACACTCAGCATGTGTGTTCTTTAGATTACCATGATAACTTTTTCCCTTTTTTAAACATAAGTTTAATTGTAGCAAAAAAATTTCTCTTGATTTGTAACTACTATCAAGGCCAACTAATATCGTCATCGTTTCATCAGAATCAATGAAGATCCTCCACATGTAGGTTTATGGGTTTGCTTGTAGTTGGTTTTTGGTGCCATTCTGCATATGTATGTGCATTTTAGTTATGTTTGGAGATTCTGAATTGCATTTTACAAGTGATCCTTCGGAGTAGTTATATTAATGGAGTATACATTCAATGACTTATCACCCTATCTCTCTCATTAAATTTTTCCAGAAGTTCGGTTCTGTAAGCGATTAAATTATATAGGGGTGTTTCGTTCAATGCCTATTCCCCTCATGCATTAATTGTCTACCATAATGAGTACAGTTGACCCTAATCTGTTTTGTTGGCAATTCTATCTGACAGTCTGCATGAATCTGTTGTCAATGGAAATCCTTTTATTTTCCTCAGTGTTGTTTTATAGAGGCATTTGGGACTTAAAACCAGGTGCTTCATTGTGGCAGGGTGCAGTAGAAAATGTGTTGGAACGAAGCTCATTTGTTCAATTGCTTGATGGTTCAATTGTGGAACTGGATCAGACTTCAAAAAATACTATTTTACGAAGCCTGCAGGAAATGTCCTCAAGTGCATTACGTTGTTTGGGTTTTGCCTACAAGGAGAACCTTCCTGAGTTTGCTACATATGATGGCGATGAAGACCATCCAGCGCATCAGCTTTTGCTTAATCCATCTAACTATTCTTCAATTGAAAGTACACTCATTTTTGTTGGCTTTGCTGGGCTAAGAGTGAGTTAGCACGTTTGCTTTTCATTCCTCAAACACATCGTCATTATTTCCCTTTATTTATTGTTTCTAGTAAGGATTAAGAAAATTATGACAAAACTGCATAACTTATTTTCATCTTGTTAAAGGATCCTCCTCGGAAAGAAGTTCGTGAAGCCATTGAGGACTGCAGAGCTGCTGGCATTCAAGTAATGGTTATTACAGGAGATAACAAAAATACAGCAGAAGCTATCTGTCGTGAGATAGGTGTATTTGGACCAGATGAGGACATCAGTTTAAAAAGCTTGACAGGAAGAGAGTTTATGGATCTTCGTGACCCCAAAAGTCATCTAAGGCAAAGTGGAGGGCTGCTCTTTTCTAGGGCAGAACCAAGGCATAAACAAGAAATAGTGAGATTTCTTAAAGAAGATGGTGAAGTAGTTGCAATGACTGGGGATGGGGTCAATGATGCACCAGCCTTGAAATTGGCTGATATTGGAATTGCAATGGGCATTGCTGGAACTGAGGTATTTCTTTTTTTTCTTTTTTCCTGTGCTGCTATGTATTACATCTTAATGCAAAGATGGCATTAGAGAGTATATTGATTTAGAAAATAGAAGAAAAGTTTTTACCTTCTATGTTTGGTTTGAATGCTTACAAACAGATTTTGTACCTTATTTTTGGTAGTGAGCTTTGCTACTTTTCGAAAATTTCCATTAGTTTACTGACTTGTTGCATGAGGATTAGCTGCATTCATCATCGCCTTTCGGGATGTGTTTTATATCAATAGTTGCAAGAATGTCAGTGGCTCAGTGCACATGCAAGAAGCCCCATGGAGCTGTTCTAAAATAAATTTATCAACTTAACTTCGCATGACCTCTAAATGTTTTTTTTTTGGGGGGGGTGGGGATGGGTTTGGTGTAAAATGGATGATTTTCTAGAAAACGCGAGGCCTTTTTCAGTTATTACAAACCTTTATGTTTTCCCTTCTCATCCTTTTTTGGCCTTCAAGGTGCACCTTATTGCTCTCTTTTATTTGTGTAGCCTTTGTGTTTAGTTGCACCTGACCAAGCCATTTCAAAAGTTTTCCCTCATTTGAAATTAGTGCTACCATTAGATCACCTTCAATGCATGTATTATGGTTATCTTCTCTTGTCTCATCATTTCTTATTTCCTGTGTTATCTCATTCTAGGTTGCAAAGGAAGCTTCTGACATGGTTTTAGCAGATGACAACTTTAGCACAATTGTTGCCGCTGTAGGTGAAGGCAGATCTATTTACAACAATATGAAGGCATTTATCAGGTCCTTTTCTCTTCCTGTTCTTCGTTGCTTTGTACCAGATTTTTCTATGAGACTGGCTTGATGGTTTTAATTTAGAAAGGTTAATTTTGAATTTGCATAATTTCCTCTTTATGGGAATCTGAACAATCATATTACATGTTCCTGAAAAAATGACATTCTTGTGTTACATTCCGTATGGCATTTTTAGTATGGACGCGTGTTTTGTGCAAAAAAGGATCTGTTTTGAAATAAATACAATTTGATTTGCTAATGAAGAACTGAATTATTTTGTCTATACAATTTTTATGATTATAGAATTGCTAATTTATGTGTTTTTACCAATCTCACCATAACAACCTTGCATTTATTAGTTTATAGCAAGCCTTGTAGCAAGGATAACAATGACAATGATGATGATATTACAATGGCCCTGATGTCTTTTTTGTCATCGCAGGTACATGATCTCCTCTAATATGGGTGAGGTTGCCTCTATATTTCTGACAGCTGCTCTTGGTATTCCGGAGGGTCTGATTCCCGTTCAGCTTCTATGGGTCAATCTTGTTACCGATGGACCCCCAGCAACGGCTTTGGGATTCAATCCACCAGACAAGGATGTTATGAAGAAGCCCCCTCGAAGAAGTGACGACTCATTGATCAGTCCTTGGATTTTATTCCGCTATCTGGTACTGTAGCTAGCTACTTTCTCCTTCCCATATTCAATAGCCTATTCGGTACTGGAAATAAATTGTTACTCGTTAAATTTGTTATGCTTACTTTTTCTCACTTTTGATGCAGGTGATTGGACTCTATGTCGGGATTGCAACTGTGGGGATATTTATCATTTGGTACACACACGACTCTTTCCTTGGCATCGACCTAAGTGGAGATGGCCACAGTCTTGTCACCTATTCCCAACTTTCCAACTGGGGTCAATGCCATTCCTGGGAGAATTTCTCAGTAACACCTTTCAAGGCCGGCGCTCAAGTGTTCAATTTTGATGCAGATCCATGTGATTACTTCCAGAGAGGCAAAATAAAGGCAATGACTCTGTCTCTGTCTGTCTTGGTCGCAATTGAGATGTTTAATTCTCTTAATGCCCTGTCTGAAGACGGCAGCCTTGTGACAATGCCCCCGTGGGTTAATCCATGGCTCCTTCTGGCCATGTCTATTTCGTTTGGCCTGCACTTCTTGATCCTTTATGTGCCTTTCCTTGCCCAAGTTTTCGGAATTGTGCCTCTAAGCCTGAATGAATGGTTCTTGGTGTTGGCAGTTGCATTGCCAGTGATTTTAATAGATGAGATTCTCAAGTTGGTGGGTAGATGTACAAGTGGCGTTCGAACATCAGCCAGAAAGAAGCACAAGGCGGAATGAGGATCATGAGCAAAAGGAGGTCTCGATCGGTGAATATTGAACATTACTTGGGTCCTTCCTTTAACCCCCTCCCTTTTTTAGGTTGTGTTTGATTTATGGAATTGGGGAGAGATTTGGAAAGTAAAAGAGAGAAGTGTGTGAAACTAGGTAAAATGTACTTGAAGTTGTTATCTCTCAAAGCACTGGTCTTCTTGAACTTCAGGTACTCTTTCCCTTTCTCTTTCTCTTTTTAAATCCATCTCCAAATCCTTGAACCAAAATACAGCCTTAAACTGCGAGAGTTTGGTTATTCAATTAGATTGGTATAATAGGCTTTCATAGCAGTACTTTAGATGTAGTGACCGTTTCTTTTCTTTTTTCATTTTTTGCTTTCATGATCTTCCTATTAAACTTGGCAGATCTTGGTTAACATTGGAGCATACATATGGAAAAGCATTTTGGGAAGAGCTTTTCTAGTCTTGTCTTGTCTTTATACTTCTGTTAGAAATTAAATAGCGTTGTTGAAAACTGCAAAAATGGCTTTTTAAGTTGCTGATTCTCTCTCTCTCTCTCCCCTCAAGTGACCTGCTTATTTGTGTCCAATAATCCTCACTTGACCACAACAAATCAAGTTTAGCCCCATGTTGTTGTTCATGGAGTATAAAGGTTGGGGAGGACAAGTTCTGAACATGAATTTGTTGAGACTTTACAGGGCTGAATAAATAGTGTGACCAACATGCTTGAAGCCTTTACTCAAAGCTTATATCAAATTGAATTTATCTATTAAGTTTCAAATTTTTTACCAAGTGGATTCTACAGTCATATGAGACATTTGATCATTCATTTAGTAGAAAATTTTGTATACCTACCCTTTATCTGTTATTTTATCCGAATCAAGGAAAATTCAAATATTTACTCAAAATTTCCTGAACTTTTGTATCTTTCAAAATTATGTTTAAATATGAATTTGTCCATGAAGTACTTCATATAAAAAGTGTGTTTTAAATGTCTTTGTTAAAACATATTAGGTGTGTTTGGTTTGTTTTTTAGAGTGATTTTCAATAAAAAAAAAAAATTACAGAGTTTAGAAATTTTTTTGATTTTTTTGGTTGTATATTTTGAAAGTAATTTTAGAGTTTTGGAGTTTGGGATAATTTGATATTTTGTTGTAATTGAGTAAATATATGTGAGAAAAAAAGTACTCTGTCCGTCCCAAAATAATGGTCCTTTTGGGGGAATTCAATTTTTTTTGTAGCATAATTATTGTACTTTAAAAAAATTAATTTTTCAAAATTACCCTTTGATAGTATATTTTTTGGGAAATATCAATATCATAATTGTACTTTTTATGCTGTTAATAAATTTAAAAGAATAGCAAAATAGAAAATTTATATTATTTTTGTACTTGATTTTTGAAAAAAGGCTAATATTTTGAGAAAATAAAAAATGAAATAAGAGACTAATATTTTGGAACGAAGGGAATAATTGATAAGGAGAGGTGAGAGAAAAAGTGATTGATTGATATGTAAGAGAGCGTGATTTTAGAAATTTATAAAAAAAAATCATAAACCAAACAAAATTTGAAAAAATATTTCAAAAACAACTCTCCCAAAATCAAACCAAACGGGCCTATTATATATTCTTCAAGAAATCAATAAAATTTACCCATAAAAATTTGAGGCCTTAGTCCATGTTTGTTTTTAGTCCATGGGCTAGGAATTTGATTGATAATTCTATTAGTCCACAAAAATATGTTTGGTTTAAATTTTTGTTTAAAAAAAAATCATCACTATTTTGTTTCTTGTTTTCTAATTTTATTTTCATTTTTTTCAACTGAAAACAAAAACATATTTGATATATCATTTTTATTTTAAAAAAAATAAACTGATTTCAAAATTTTCAAAATTTTTGAAAACACAAAAAAAAAAAAAATTCACTTTTCCTCTCACCCACCACCTTTAGCTACCACCACCAGCCACCACATTAGCCTGCTATCAATGGGTGGCAAGCTCCAAACAACCTCTGGCAACTCTAGGAGATGGGCAGTCCTTCTCGTAATCTTATATCACATTTTGGTATATTGCCATCTAAGGGTGTTCGCGGTTTGGTTTAAGACGGTTTGCGACTCGATTTGAATCCGCCTGCATCTATGTGGTTTAGGAAAAAATTAACCCGTAACCACTCGCAATGCGGTTTGCGGTTTATACGGATAGGGTTCGCGGATGTGCGGGCGGTTTGCAGATTGGACTTTTTTTCAAAAATTTGTTTCTAAACCTTTTTTTTTTCTTCCCATTTTGTCAATATTTATTTTGGACCATTTTCCTTCCATTTTCTAAAAATGCTTCAACATTAATAATTCATGAATTAAAACTTATAAAATAAAAAACACAACAGATTCAATACAGTCACAAATTCAATTTTAATTTTAATAATAAATTCAATACAGATTCAATATGGATTCAACACAATCACAGATTCAATTTTAATTTGAATAACAAATTCAATTCTATACAGATTCAATTCCAATTTCAATAACAGATTTCCACCTCTCACAGATCTGTTGAAGCATTGCAAAAGCACAGACTCAATTCCAAAAGCATAGATTCAATTCAAAAAAAAAAAAAAAAAACAGAAAGAGAGTGATCTATTTGCATAAACACAGATTCAATTTCCATTTCTCACAGATCTGTTGCTACAAAAAAAAAATCAGATTTAATTCCAAACAAACACACAGATTCAATTTCTACTTCTCACAGATTCAACAACAGATTTAATTCCAATACCACAAACTTAATTCCAAAAACACAGATTCAATTCCCAAAAAAAAAAAAAAAAAAACAGAGACAGATCTGTTTGCATAAACACATATTCAATTTTCACTTTTTCACAGATTTGTTGCTACAAAAAAAAATCAGATTTAATTTCAAACAAACACACATTCAATTTCCACTTCTCAAAGACAGATCTGTTGTTACAAAAAAAAAATAACAGATCTGATTGCAAAAAATAAACAGATCTGATGAGATAAGAGAGTGAGGGAGACAGATCAAAGAGTGAGAGATCTGATATGTTGCCAAAAAAAATCAAAGATTGAAGAGAGAGAGGCTTATCTGTGAGGTCAATCGGTGTGATGAGAGAGTGATGTCGATCAATCGATCTTGCGATGAGAGAGTCGATCGGTGCAGATGCAAAACCAGAGAGTAAGAGACTGATGAGATGAGAGAGCGAGGGAGACATATCAGAGAGAGAGAGAGAGATCTAATATGTTGGGGAAAAAATCGAAGATCAGGGAGAGAGAGAGAGAAAGATAGAGACTGAGACTGAGAGAGGGGCTTACCTGTGAGGTCGATCGATGCGATGAGAGAGTAAGGTCGATCGGTCGATCTTGTGATGAGAGAGAGTCGATCAGTGCAGTGTAAATGAAAAATGCGAAAGTGAGAGTGAGAGTGAGAGACAGATTGATAAGATGATAGAGTGAGTTCGTGTTTTGGAGTTTGAGAGATAGATTAAGATTAGGGTTTTTTTTTTTTGTTCGTTTGTTATAGTCTATAGATGAAATGAGATGAACCATCAGATTTGAAGGGAAAACAAAACAAAAAAGGTTTATACGGGCTGGTTGGGCGGGTGCGGTTCAAACCCGCAACCCATCCGTAACCCGAAAATTAGATAAAATCCAAACCGCACCCTACCCTAATGTATTTGCGAAACCGCCCATACATGTGTGGTTCAGATAACCCTACGCCCAGCCCTATTGCCATTCGTGTCCTTTGGCATCTAACCACTAATCCCAACTAACATCTTCAACTATTCACCATCACAAATCACCACATCCATCCATCCTCCATCTCTAGTCACCAAATCCAATAACCCATTAAATATAGGAAAAATTAGTCTAAGATCCCTGCCCAACTTTTGATAGGAGGAGAGGTCCACAATAATATTTTTTTGATGCCTAAGGTCCCTTAACCTTATTTTACGTTATAAAATACCTGATTTACCCTTCTTTATAACATAAATTTGTTTGGATTTTAGCGAACTAAATATTCTATTGCTGGTTTGTATAAGATTTCATGGGGATGGACTTTCCGGTGGAGATTTCGTAGGGATTTTGTAAGTGTTGGAGATTGCTATGATTGTGTAGGTTTTACAGTGGTGTTGATCATGTAGGTTTTTCAATGGAGTTGAATCAGATATGTTTTCGATGGAGATTCCACATGGATTTCGATTTTTGTTTTGAATTTTATGTAAGGATTCTGATTTCATATTAGTTTTTCAAGTGTATTTTGCATTAGGTTTTTGTTTTTAATTTTGATCAATTTAAAAGAGAGGCTAGCTCAGCGAAGTTGTTTATGATTTTTGGAGTTGATTTTTCCTTCTCTGTTATTGATCAATTTTAGAGAGAGGCTGGCTTGATAGAGTTGATTTTGATTTTTGGAGTTCATTTTTCATTCTCTGTTTTTTTATCAATTTCAAAGAGAGTTGACAGTGAAGTTGATTTTGATTTTTAGAGTTCATTTTTCGTACTCTGTTTTTCATCAACATACTTATCAATGATAAGTTTTGTTCTCTATTTTTTCAAACCAGAGATAAATGTAAATTTCTTATCATTTTTTGTTCTCTGTTTTTTTTGCACTTTTGTTGGTATAGTCCAGAGAAAATTATAAGTTTGTTATTATAATCCAACGAAAATCACAGAGAAATTTATAAGCTCATATGGACATATTAATATAAGTTTCTAATGCAGATAGAATAACAGAGAAAATTGTAAGTTTGTAGTTCAGTGAAAATCACAGAGAAAGTTGTAAGTTAGTAGTCTAGTGAAAATCACAGAGAAAATTGTAATTTTTTATGGACATGTTATTATAAGTTTGTTAGTTTTTTTTTCTCTCAATTGAATGTTTTGTGAGCATAACAGATCTTCTCTATGAGTTTCTCTGAGTTTGTGTGGAATAGTTAGCATTTTTGTTAATTTGATATTAATGTGTTTTTGTTTTTGTGATCTTAAAAGTGAATATAAGTTTTTAAATTTCTCTGGACTTTTATTTGTAGTTTAGAGAAAATTATAAGTTTGTAGTTCAAAGTGAATATAAGTTTTTGTTTCTCTGAGCAAAAATTATTTTTTGTGTTTTTTCTTTCAGTTTAGATGGGCAGTGCAGTATTTTTTGTTATCTTGAA